CTTCAAGTCGTAAAAAATTAATCATAGTCGATTACCTATTCTCCTCACATTCGACTGTGATTAATCAATTTCTTACGGCTTGAGACTCAAGTTACGCCTTAAAATCTTATCGTAGACGCCGCTTTACGGCTTTCCCGTGACACAAGGGAACTCAATCGCGTAAACTAAATTTCTGCAGCATTATCTACTTCCACTTTCCGATGTTCCAACCCCGTTCCAGGTTTATTCGCGAAGGAAGGAAAGTAGGGGCGGGCGCTCTCTTATCCGTCGCTGTGGCGGGTCGGCGGGTGTCGGTGGCGCGACTGTGAAGCGAAGGCAATTATCGTAGCGAAACTTGAACGTGGCAACGCGCGCCCCGAGGACGACGGGTTTTCGGCTTCGATGTGTGGGAGTGAGTGTTTGGCGTCTGATACGACGGGTCAGGTCCCCGGGGATTCTCAGGAACTCAAACGGGACTATCTCACCGCCTCTCTCTCATCACAGTTAATTACCAGTCCTCGGCCGTGCTCGAGTCGGTCTCTCTTTCTCACTCCGTTTACCTTAGTCCCTTAGTCCTCCTCGAACCCATATCGCTTCCGCCGAGCGATCCACCCTCAATAATCCACGACCGTACCGTTTCCGTACTGTTCTGAAATCTTTTTTCCGAAAGTAATTTTCGCGAAACACACGGTCAATTATTAAACCGCATTATGCGGTAGAAAACTAATTGCCATCCTTTCTTTTCTTGTAAATAATCTTATATGCATAATTAAAGAAAAATTATTTTTAATATATATTTAAATAATTATTTTTTTTTTATATCGTGTTGTAAATATATATTATCTTTAAAATAATTCATTTATCTTATATATCAGCTTGTGACTGTATTGTTACAATCGTTCTCGAATTATAATAAAAGTTTCTATCCAATTATTATTACTTTCCCTGCATTAAGCGCATACTCGGGAGATACAAATCTTGTGCGAAGCGCATTCTTTAACGCGATAAAAAAATACCGTACGGATATCTGAGTGGCTTTTTTTCATATACGGTTAATGGATTCGATTCATGCAGGATACAGGGTGTGTCAGGCACGGCGGGACAAAAATGTAGATTCATACACATTTCAGCGGTGTCACACGTATAGATATTTTAAGAGTTACGTGCAATCAATAGGCGACAGGGAAACCCCCGTGGGAATCCAAGCGAGCGAATCGTAGCGGGATTGAACGCTTGAAATGGAATAATATCCAATAATCTGGCAGCCGAGAGAACGGGATAAAAAGGGACGTTTTATCGGAGCATCACAGCATCCAACCAAGCGGTATCCGACCATTTCCGCCAAGCTCTCGCGGAGCCATTTCGCCCCGTTCTCGGCTAGCTGGCAAAATTAATTATTGATTTCGGATACGCGCATTCAGTCGCGGCGGGCAGCTTTTAATCGAAAACGAGCCATCCGTCGCACACCCATTTCCGACCGCTACGAATTTAACAACGGATCGATCTGGAAATGCCCGTTTATGTCACACTATTACTGCCGCTTGTAACAAAAAACCTCCGACTATTTGCGGTTATTCGTTTCAATTCTTTTTACGATAATTTTCGAGGTACTCGACGTATATCAGATTAAAATAAAATATTTCGTTAGAATTATTACCTAATACTATTACGTACAATTATTACGATATAAAAAAATTAACAAATTATTACTAAGTAATAATAATATAAAAGGCGTTTTAAATTTAAGTAATAAATTAAATAATTCAATCATAATGCAACTGTATATACACACATATATATATATATATATGTAGAGAGAGAGATAGAGATTTTGCTTCTTGAAGGGAGCGCTTACATGACCACGAGAAGAATACCTGTAAATATGTATGTAAAGCCGTTCACTCCAAACAAAAGAAGAAGAACGAGAAGGAACGACGGAGAAAAGTGAAGTATGCGAGCGTGTGCGAATGAGACTGGGTGAAATACTATCAATACTCTTATTGACAGAAAACAATATAGGAAAATGAAACAATGTATAAAAATTCATACAGGATTGGAAAGAATAAGGAACATAGGAGTACCTGGAGAAAGACATCTAGAATGACTATTTATCCTTTGAGGGAAGTAGATGGCTGGGAAAGGTTTGGCAAGAAGTTATCGGCTGTTGGTCTTATGACAGTTTCGTCTGATGTGGCGTCGAAGTCTATTAGCTAAATGAAATAAATTGGAGTAAATTATTTAAATTTAATTTTATGTATAGATATGTCTATTTGAAATATAAATTGTCCTACCACTTGCGTATTTTTATTTTATTTTTTTAATCTCTTTTATCTTTAACAGATATTTTTATCAATACAGAATCGACATTTTCTTAGTAGAAATGTCGATTCTGCATTGATTTATATATGCGTATGTACACATATATATTCCCATTAAATTGTTTATATATTGAAATTTTAAGAAAAAATAAAGTTTCAGTACAAAAAATAATTAAAAGAAGCTGACTAGAGGAATGCAACATGAAAGGCAATATAAATCCACTTCATATTTTCTTTTTTCGTAATATTTTCTCTTTAAGGACGATAAATGAAAATATTAAATATACAGACGTAAAGTATTTGCTCCGTGTGTAAAGTAGAGATATAATTTACATTTGCATTACACGCTATTTAAGAAATTTGTTTATTTCTCCATGATTCGGTGAAATAGTTTAATTCGTTCGTATAATATAGCTTTTCAAGCAATATCTTTAATCACCTCTTGTAATTCTGCCTTGCTAAACATGTGAAACAATTGCCCGGGCGTCATTGTCATCACTTCAATATTGGTATCGTTCAGTTTTTCTTCCATTACTTGTTTCAATATTGTCAGCGCAGCTTTCAACGCTTCCTTGAGCGTCATGGACTATAAGAACAATATTCATTTAATACACAATGTCAACATTGTTCAAGTCAAAAATAACACAAATTACCTTATGATATACTTCTTGAAGATTTTGTTGAGCTCCTTCACTACCAGATCCTATAGCTTTTGCATCAAATTGAACAAACGTACCAGATGGATCCATGTGATACAGTTGTGGACCTTTCTCATCAATCCCCGCAAATAACATTGCTACACCAAACGGTCTAGACATGGCAGTACCATCGTCGTCACTGTCTCCAAACTGTATAGCTAAATTAGATACAGCTTGAGCAGTCGACTCCACTGTCATTTTTTCATTGTAGACAAACCAATGATTCTGGCATTCAACTCGAGCTCTATCAATCATTGTCCGTGAATCAGCCATCAAACCAGACGCTGCACATCCTATATGTTTATCGATTTCTACAATTTTTTCTACAGTTGTTGGTTCCATTAGAGATGAAGTAATACGTTTCTCCACTGCCAGAACGACTCCTTCCGTTGTTGCAATTCCAATGGCAGTAGAGCCGAGCTTTATGGCTTCTATGGCATATTCGACTTGAAATAATCTTCCTTCTGGCGAGAAGGTATTTACTCCACGATCGTATTCAGAACGTGTTAGAAACATCTTAAAATAGATAGAAGATGCACAAGTTAGAGATGTAGACTATTCATCATTTATTGCGAGTATTGAAAATGTATACAAAACGTGAACTGTAGATTTTCAGTACTTGCAGTGAATAACGAGATTCAACTATAGGTTATGTACGTGTGTAAACTGATGCTTTTAACTATTTTATATTTGAATTATCTGTTTAATTTAAAATTGTCAAGAAGTAATGTAAAATTAAGGTTATAGAACAAACATTAAACGTTCTATAACACTCTATAGAAATCAAGTTTGAGGTTAAGCGCGACTAAAGTGACACAAATAAATTCAATAAAGTTAAAAAAATAAGAACATTTATTATTATATGTAATTATAAAGCACGACAGAACACTCGAGTATTAATAAAAATAGATAAAAGCTCAAATTAACAGAATAACAAACTGAATAGGTCAGTTAACAAAGAATGACATGGCAAAACGAAACCGAGTATTCTGTGACTGTAACATAAGTATGATGATAAATGTGATATTTAATGTAATTTCAAACTAAGTTATAAATTTACCTTAAATGTTCTTTACTGAAAGCAAGCGCAAAAGTACAAAACGCCGACTTGTCAGTCTTGTCACAAACGCTAGTCACGGAGTGATGGAGAGTGTAACGAATAATTACACTGGAGCAGCAGTAGCGTAACGTTACATACTATCTCCACTACCTCCAGATTCAGAGAGAAATCTGAGTTATCTGATAATGTGAAACCTGAAAGTAGACTCAGTGGATATGTCTAATATAAATATTTCGCAGATTTATAATTCTCGTTAACATCTAGATTATTAATATTCTTATAAAGATGTTTGTTATAAAAAATTGTTGAATTGCTTGTCAATTTAATAATCACTGATTCTGCTTATGATTGCGTTTCAAAACCTAAAAAGATTTTGGCGCGCGGTTTACAGACTCAGATGTGTATATAAGATTTTTCTTGTTTAATTTAATTTATTCCTATTGATTCAAATTTGTATCATAATTATTCAGTGTTTTAAATGGAACGGAGGGAATTCGTTTACTGAGACCTCTATGTACACAAAACGTGCATATTGAACTATGTAGTCACAGATGTATTCGACGGGTAACGCACCATGATTTTCGATTTTGTTAAATTTTCTGCGTTATGTATATTATTTGATTCTATTTTGTGTCAATTTTATGCCCACAGAATATATTAAATATATTTCGCTTTATATTTATATATTTTTAATATCTTTTTTTAGAAATTATTTCAATTTTTATCATTTTTATAATGCATTTATTACGCAATTATATTTTGTGAATATTATAGCGTGGAATAGAATGGAACAATGTATAACAATAGCATAATACAATAAAACAAAATCGAAGATCGCTGTATGTTATCCGTTGAAAATATCCATGGGTAAATAGTTCAACGTGCACGTTTAGTGTACAGAGGCGCTCAGAAAACGAGAATTACCTTCAACTGCAGTCTACATTACATGCTCTGTTGATTAATCACTTGACACGACGTATTTATGAAAAGCTTTGTCCATGTAATAAACAGTGACAATTTTATTAAAAATGACGGCATATATTGATTCGCAAAAATTAAAAACGATTATAAATGAAAAAGACTGGGATCAGTTACTGCAAAACGTCAAACCAAAGCATTTTGTCAGACAAGAGTCAGAGTATGTTTGTAACAATGTTTGTAAGTTGTCAGTTGACAGATAATCGTGTATGATAATTATTATGTATGTTTCAGGACGATACTTGATGCAAATATCTTAGCACAAATGTGTCAAGTACTCTTAAGCAAAGTCACTCCGGATACGATTATAATTTTATGCTTGAAATGTCTGGGGAACTCTTGTCTTGACGGTTACAAACATAAACAACATATAATAGAAAATGCAGAATCTATTAAATACAGTAAAAATTTATATAAAGAATTAGTTGAAAGTGATTTATGCAAACAAAGAAAAAACTGTGATTATCCACATGATTCTCATTTTCCTTATGACGGAATTATAGAATGGACTGTAGATTACATTAAGATTCATGGAAAATCCACTTACCATTTAATTGACAATGAATTGGATATCCTTAGGCTCAGTATCCAATTTTTATGTAATTTATTTACATATGCCTGTCCAAATATTATATCTGCAGAAGAGGATATTCTAAGATATTTAAATTGTGATAACCTGAAACAAGCTATTCTGTAAGTTTACATATAATTACATATAAATACATAAAACTTATTTTGATCTTCTTTTATAATTTGCTAAAAATAAAAAATAAATGATTTTCATTATTTTTAGGAGTTGCATGCGGTCTGATAATAGATTACTAGCTAATGCAGCTTGTATTTATGTGCACAATGCGTTAAAAAAGTTATGTCACAACTATTTCACAATGGAGAAGAAAGATATATTTTTACAATTATTAAAATCTGCCAAAGAAGGTTTTACATCTGCAAAAGATGCATTGTTATTCCTGTTACATCAACCAAATGTATTTGAAGATGTATATAATAATATAACTATAAATGAAAAGTTAGATTTACTTAAAATTATCTATGATGAAGTCTGGAACGCTTGGCAATCTGATTTTAATACAGTGCTCAAAGAGGATCAGGCTGAATTTTTAGCATTAACATTTTGCAAAAAAAGTGATCTCATTTTAAAGACCGTGGACACATACGTGAATAGCATAGATCCTACAGAAATTATCCTTATTCTTAATATTCTGGGACTTCTTACTACACAATGCAAGATCTCAGAAAATGTCAGGAGTTTGCTTATTAATTGTAAATGTAAGTGCATCAGTTTTCAGTACAATCTGATTGAATGTAAAAATAATATAATTATATTTATAGACCTTTTGATGTCGTTACATATGATGGGAAAAGAAGCAGACAATTATTTTACTCCAATAACAAATTTAAGTCAAGTGGCACCTAATACTCAAAGGAGAACTGTAAATGTATGCTCAAATACAAATGATACCGAGGTATCTGAAACATCAGCGGCAAATTGTGATCCACAGGAACATCCTGCATATGGCTTCAAAGCGGGACTAATACAAGTCATTGCAAATGTAGTACACAAGAACAAAATGTGTCAAGATTTGGTAAGTGCAATTACATGAATTTTATGTCAATATATTTTGTTCTTAAAAAAGGAAGGGGAATGTAAAATTTGTACAAAATTTATCTAAAGTCGGTAAAAAACATTTCTTACTTATCTCAAACGTTTTTTCCGCGGGTATACCGTTAAAGCACGCCTCGTAATGGTCGTGAGAGGAATTAGAACGTCAAGTTTTGAATATGTAACAATCGATATATGTAAGTAATAAAACAAGAAATAAGAAAGGAAGATATGACAAAGATATGCATGCGTACATGTTCAGTTATTCTTAATAATATTATTACTTTTATCTCATAAATTTAAATTTATTACATTTAAATTTATGAACTAAAAGTAACAATAATATTAATAATCATTGAATTTTAAATTCAATTAAAAATTCTTTATTCTTTCCTTTTTTCTTAATCACGATTCGGTTTAAATTATTTTCTTTTATCATAAAAGAATTGCGCAGATTGTATTATTATTTTATACAAACATTTGTCTTATTGATACCTTTAATTTTTTTAATTATTTACAAAATCAATTATCTATCTAATTTACCTACAAATTAATTAGTTTCTACAAATAAATAGTGTATTACGAGCTTAAGAAAAACGCAAGTATTTTAGCAAAAATCCTATATTCAGCTATATATTACGAAACCACTTGGTGTATCTTAAGCTTTATACGAAGAAAAAAAGAATAGCCACAGCGCTGAGTTCCGGCCACACAGAACGCTTGCGTCACGTTGTTCCGTACTCAAGGGATTAAAATTGTACCTCGTGAATGATGGTAGGTTATTTTCAAACGTAGAGAACCTTGACAGTTGCAAAATATAAATTTGGCTTTTTGTTGCGCGCCACGGTTGTGCGCTATGCATGTACGGTAAATCGATATTTCTCTCCCACTGATTACATCTCGCGTGCGGATGATACGGAATACGCGAACAAAAGATACGCAATAGCACGCGGCCTGTCGTGTTGGACAAAGCGAAATTAAGTGTTCCATCTGACTGAGAGATGTAGCAAGATGATCGAAATCTGATATACGCGTTGCAAATTTAACGGATCTGCGAGATGACAAAGTTCACGTCGCATGCATATTGACAGATAAATTAGTTATGATGAATCAGAGCGGAAACACGAGCCTGCGGGCGGAATATTAATTCAGTCTCCTAGTATCAAGGATGACATGAACATCGTAGTCACGATAGTAAGATGCAGATGACTTTTTTGCTGATCATCGGTTGTGATAAATCTGTTGTCGGTACGGAAATATTGACGTTATAGCGTTCGATCATCCGTGTAGACTAGACGAAGGTGTTCCTTATTGTTAAATTCAGCTCTATAAAACTAGCAGGATCAAATCAGCAGAATCAAGTCGGATCTATCGGAATTTTTAGTACTCATTTTATACTAAAATGTACCATTAATAACAATTTTGTACCGTGTGCCATTTCGAAAAAAATTGTGACGATCGTAGCTTAATGTTAAGCTGGCAGAACCAATTCAAAATAAAAGAAAAAAAGAAAAATAATATCAGAAATCAATATAGGATTGAATTTGTACTACCGAAAACAATTTTATACGTATCATTTGCAAGAAAACATTGGCGCTACTAATTTAATATTTAAGCTGGCAGGACCATAAAAAATAACACAAGAGCAAAAATTAACATAACTAAATTTGTACTAATTTATACAATTGAGAGTAAGTTAATATTTTACATATTTTCTCCTTAAAATGACTTTATTATATATACTTACAATCTATGAGGCATTCCACATCAAACCGGATATCTTCAAAACATCATTTTATTCTTTTTTTAATTTGTTAACATATTGCTATAAATAAAAACATGAGACACTTGTCTCGCGAAAAAAATGACTCGATACAAAATTATCATTAATGGTACAAAATGAGTACTAAAAATTCTGATAGGTCCGATTTGGTTCTGCTGATTTGGTCCTGCTAGCTTTATAGAGCTGTTAAATTCATAATGTCAAATTACACTTTAAATTTTTAATTATTTCTATATAAGTTTACTCTTGCTGAATATATCCTTAATTTAACTTGAACAATTTAACTCGAGAAATGTGTTGAATTTGATTCAAATTTAGTTTATTATTTACTAAGTGCATATATTAATACGGACGTTTACTTTGAAACTAAGTATAATACAATCACAGAATTAGATTGAGTTATATTTTGATACACACATGGAAGTTGAAATAACAAAATATTATTTAACTCAAGGAGTTGGGTTATCATTGCTCCTCTGATATCCAATAGTGTTAGTGAGTTTTCAAAATGTTTCAAATAAAAGGGCATAATGATAATATATGTTTCCAGTTTCGTGAAATAGATGGAATTCCATTGCTTCTGGATTGTTGTAACATAGACGCGAGGAATCCGCGTAAGTGTAATTGAATTTCTTTTTTTTTTTGTACTTTTGTTCGCTTTTCTATTGACAATTTTTACGCAGTTATCTTACAATGGACCATTCTCGCCTTGAGAAATCTGTGCGAGGGAAACCCTGAGAATCAAGAAATTATTAAAAATTGTAAAAAAACGGGCGTGCCAGACAATCCCGCGTTGCAAGAGATGGGCTTGACTCTGCACGAGGACGCAGATGGGAAATTGATCCGTATCGTTCCTTTGCGTCGCAATTAAGAAGATTTATCTATTTTCTAGGACTCGAGATAGCTCTCGGCGATCAATCAATTCGATAATTATCCAACTATTGCTTGTTTGTATCGATAACATCTTCGATAAAATACAATGATTGGTTTATCTTGATATGTATAAATAATTATTGTTCCAATTAGTTCGACTGAAATGCATCCTGCTGTATCATTCACGAAAAAACGACACCATCATTACAACGATTTGTGTCATTAAACGAAATACGATGTATAGAGAGAAATATTTTATCTACATTCTTGGCCGAGTGATTTACGATACAATAAAAGCTGCTACGAGAGTTCACGGTCTATTAGTAATTGCTAATGTAAGTATATACAACTACTATTACTGATCATTCAATTGTAATGCGAAATAGATTTTGTTTTCTTTTAATAATGAGCTCTCATTAAGAGAGAGAGATTTTACTAATGCGCACGAGAATATAATAATAATTTTTAGGCGGCGTTCTGCAATAAATAAATTCGCAATAAATAATCTGCACCCATCCATTTTTTTTTTGCCTTCTCACCAAATTGCTCAAGACGGATTCATGTTTAAGAATTGATAGAACCTCCAATTATGCTGTCAGGAGACGCAGTGTTTTAATAAATAATTTCTCTATTAATTAATTGCACGCATCTTAATTCCCCCTTGTCCCCGCGATTCCCGTTTTAAGACGATAATTTCTCACGTCCACGGCCGTTTCTCATCACGAACAGTTTTACGATGAGGAACGACGACGTCGTCCTGCGCGTAAGAGGTGTTTATTAATGTCATCCAGGAGGCGCGGGTAAGCGGGCGAGCAAGAGGAATCGCGTGGTGGGTGAGAAATCCGCCTGCGCGTACCAACTTGTGCGTTAATTATACCGGAAGTTTCGAAATACACGAGAGACAGTTACGTTTTCCTTTCTAATGGAATTCTCTGGACAGTAACCGCGCGATTTCCAGCGTCGCGGCCCAACGGGATCGGCTAGTATTTATAATATCGGTAAATAAATAATGGTAGATAATTATCTCTCGAAGGGCACGTACTGTATGCGTTCTACTTAGCCGTGATACGCGTCTGGAAGGATTTACGAAATGTAATAATAGGTTTCCGGACGTAATATGCGATCTAATCGAGCATGACCAATCGCTGATTTATAGCGTGATTTCGATGAAGAATAAGATTACGGATAGTCGTGGCGTATAAATGAGAGTCTACTTTTAACTCGTAAATTTACGATCAAATGACACTCGCCACGCAAATATGTACATTGTAATAATCGTTTCTTTATTTTATTAGCTCTCGTCGCAACAAAGAACGATAGATTTATATCGCGCGAGTTATACATATATCTTCGAGATATTTCTGTAAACGAGCCGACTCCTCGGTAAAATATCTCAAGTTTGTACGGTTCGCGTATGAAAGTAGACGGGTTATATCGTACGCATCCCGCGTACGAACGTTCCGTAAATTGCTTTTGATTTAAATATCGGCCGATCTCGCATACGATCAATCTTGAATGTGCGTAATGGCGAGCAGTTAACGCATCAATTTATCAGTTAATTACATACGCGGTTAATTGCCACGAGTAATTATTTCCGCGCGAGAGAAGAGTTCTCCGTACAGGAGAGACGGTGTTCGAAGAAGCAAGATGAAATTCACGCCACGTGAACCACTTTAATCGTTCGGTCAATGTATCGATAGAAGTGACTCGTGATCTTCTTGAGAAAAATACAGACATCCAAAAACCAAAACCCAACAATTGGAAGAAGACGGTAAGAATACAGAGATTCGACTACAGCGAAGAAGTTGTCGTTAATTTTGCAAATTCTATTGATTCATTTACATTTTTGTTTCTATTTTTAGCCCCCTTCTCAATCCCGTTTCTACTTTAATATTCTGAATAAAATGTCATTTTAATTATGTCAACATTTTTCTTCTCAAATGAAATATGGGGACTGAAGAAGCTAAGAATAAAGTGATTGATTTATAAAAATAGAAAGATTAATATGTGAGAAAATTTCATTACTTCACTTTTTTGTGATTATAAATTTTGCAACAAGGCCAAAACGGTTGTGGACGAACCGCCTACTTGTAAGAATCGATCGGAGTAATTAATTGAATTCGATGCAATACTGCGTCCCCTAGAAGAAATATCTTCCAGCGCGTTGAGGATTTCGTCGATCCGCTAACCTTATTAATATTCATAGACACTGACGAGGGAAGCGTAAAAAGTGCTTGGTCGTGCATGAGATCGCTCAGGTGCGTAAATTCTGATCGACTCCTTGATAATCAACTCGTTGACGCAATAAATTCTGGCAGAAGATAGTCAAATAGAAAAAGAGGGAGAAACTAAGAGCGGGATATGACCCAATTCTAGATAATATTTTCTGTTTGTTTCCAATTATACTTGTATTCCGAGCTATACGAATCGTTTATCATAATCGATTAAAGAAATATATATATGCATACAACCACGGATTGGAGAAATTCTCTCCTTTCTTTCGCCTCTTTATTAAAGTCTCAAAAATGCTAAGAAATCTGTAGTCGACATTTGGAAGACGATTTACATAATCTTTTAAATTATTGTGTGAATAAACATGTACAAATATGCAAATATTGTACGCTGTATATTACAGAACGGATCGTTCATGTTGGTCTCCGGGATATTAAGATTTAGTTTAAAACCTCCCGTTAATTTGTTTCGATTAGTTTATGTTTAAAATAAAATTTGTATTTTTAAAATTAAGATTCTCCTCTTAATTTAACGCTAGTGAATACGCTACTAAAATAAAAATGGAATTCGACAATGAGAGGAAAAATTTGAAAAAAATGCTCGATTCTTCACAGAATAACAGACTGAAATAAAAAATAGACTGAAAATTGAGTTTTGAAAAAGAGTGAAAATACGGTCACTCTTGTTGAAGAGTGAAAATCTGCCACTCTTGAACAAGAAAATTTGACACTTGAAGAGACTGAAAATTGAGCCAGTCTTGAAAAAAGAGTAAAAATACTAAAATACGCATATTCATTCAGAGTATTTTCACTCTTTTTTTCAAGATTGGCTCAATTTTCAGTCTCTTTGAGTGAGATTTCACTCCAGGAGATTTAGAGAGTACGTAAGATATCGAATTGTCCCGATACTTTCAGCATTCACCCTTCTCCCATGTAAAGTCTTATGTAAAGACAAAGACGTCTACTACATCGGGGCGTGATGGATAGATTGATGGTAGGTACGGGCTAGATAATCGGTCTAGCAAACGAACTAGATTCTCGTACTAATAGAGGCCGCAAATTGAGCCGGCGTCGGCGCCTAATAAGTCGCGGATTCTCTCTGCGATACGGGGCTTGAACGGGGCCTCGCGTGCGCCTACGCGTGATTTCTCTCAAAGAACCCCGACACGACGATATATTTCCTATGCCCTCGTATACTTTACATACATCGTATCCGCTGCGCATTTGTACGAAAGAATCGAATCACCGTAAAGGATCATGCACAACGCGCGACCGAGGGTCGGAGTCGGAATCTTTTTTAGAACTCTAAGAAATGTCGTAAAATGAGACTAATCCAAGTTACCGTGAGTTTTGAAAGACGCTCCTTTTGATCGATTTTTCCGTTGAAAGTATTTTATGTCGAGACAGTTAAAAATTTATTCTAACGGCGATAATGCTGAATATAGATATATTAGACGTTTAAAACAGGGTTGGCGCAGGGAAAATCCAGTGGATGGAAAAAACCAGGATAAATTCCGGATTTTACCGGTCCGGAGTTTATCCACTGGAATAATAAACTGGTAAAAACTATAAAACTGCTGCTTTAAAATATAAGAACATGAAGGTGATTCGGTATCGATGCATCTCTCTTCTTTTACTTGATTTATTCGTTTCACTCTTCCTATATCTGATTCACTTTTACTTGAATTATCATCGTCGTTCTTTTCAAACTTACTACACTTTTGAAGATGTTGTTTCAGTCGTGAAGCTTTTCCACTAACTAATGTTCCACAAGCAATACATTTCTGCTTAATAATTTTGTCAACTGTACAAGATTCAATGCAAGCCCATACAGGGCCCTTACGTCTTCCTCTTAATGTATTTTTACTCAAAATAATCAAATCTATTTATTTGATTATTTTTAATAGAAAAGACCAGGTTTTTTGCCGGTTTTTTTCCGAAAAATATCGGTTTTTACCTTTGGCATGGACTTTGTCCAAAAAATGTGGACTTTTGCCCACCCTGGTTTGAAAGAACTGAAGAAGGATCGCGAAGTAAAATGACAACACGTTGATTATAAGCGTAAAGGAAGACTCACGTACCGAGAGCACGCAGACCACGCGATATGTTTTAACGACTGCCGCACACGCAGTGCGTAAGCCGTAAATGTTACGCCGAGCCAGAGATTCGTGTAATAGCCACTAAAAGCGAGTTTCGTCCCTTTATGGATCGTAAAGACAGGGATATTTGGAACGGGGGAAACCGCGGCTTAAATTGACCCGACTCGCAGTTAACTAAAAGAGCGTGAGGTACGACCGGGTCTTAGGTACACCGAAATGATCCCTGAAGAGACTATTGTCAGCACAACGATTTCCTTTTAGCAAATGGGATCTTAAATCCCTCATAATGATATGATGCAGAGCATATTATTACGTTTATATATATTATTATAGAGGAAACATATAAATAATTTGTAATAATAATTAATTACCAGCCATGGGACCGTTGAATTAAACAATATAAATTTATATAAATTAACGTACGAATATAATTAAAAAGGATATCTGAAAGATAGCTAAAGAATGTTTGAAACATTTGTAACATATTTATAACAATGTTACCCAGCTAATTGCGCGATTCGCTTTGAATCGCGTTTCGGTTTACCAAGGTAAATTAATCCCGTTCCGAATACGCGCGCGCATTGTCCGAACGATGAAAAGTCTGCTCTAATTACGACGTGTAAACGGAGCCGCGCGCGTCCATTTCTCGAGAGCCGGGCACGATACGTTGCTCGTAAACAATGACAATAGGGCCTGCTGTCCGCGAGCGGATGCTGCTGATGCCAGCGGCCCTCATGATGGCCGCCTGCAATCCTGGTTCGTCCGTCGAGTTAATTAATCGCACCGAACGATCTCCATTGAAATGGAATCTGGATAAATTTTCCATGCTGATGTGCTGCCGAGCTAGCATGTGGGTATTATCTTTACGACCTCTTCAAAGAGGAGATGAGACGTCGGGGCGGCGAGGCGCAAGAGAATAGGGGACGCATGCGCGCGATACGGCCGCAGCCGCTGGAAACGGTGCACCGAAACCAGAGAACCTGTTATCAGAGAAACAGTGGTCTGGGACTTGGTCCAATTATCACGCAGGCGAGACACCGAGGTCTCGTCCGCGAGACGCGTCGTCCTCGCCGCGCTGGAGAACCTCGTTCGCGCGTGGCGTTCACCATGCTCAATTCATCACTCTCCATTGGATTTGTCCACTTTGTTTTCTTCTTTTCATTAGACTACATGCAAAGTCAACTGTAAATTACGATCGTTCATGTGGTCGATTCTAGTCATGTCGTGGTCTCCCTCTCTACCTTCTCCATCTACATTACATGGCGTA